GGGGGGGGAAGGACAAGTCTATACCAAAAATACACTTCACATTGCAGCAAAAACCAAAAACACTAGCATGGAAACATAAGGCCCATCTCAACTTTTCTCAGCTCAAACTATGTTCATAGAGAACTGCATTACAAACCAGTTAGAGCATCCAAATTTATCAACACAAACGCTTAAAGGTGAAAGCTGAGATTCATTGCATCCAGTGAAGCAAGACTACTACATAATGGGAAACATCTGAACAGAACAGAAACTCTGTGGTCCATTCTTAAAAAAGAGAAACAATCCTTTCAGACTTGGTTCATTTCTTCTCCGTGTTGCTTTCCAATTCCCTTTTGAGCTGAAGAGAGAAGTCATCATTGACATCATCATCATCCCAATCATCTTCCCATTGCTGGGTAACTTCTTTCCCTTCCTCTTTCGCCTCCCACTCTGATAAAGAGAATAATACCAGATGCTAATGAAGAGACAAAGTGGAAAAAGAAATAGAAAATGAAAGGTAAAGTGTAAGTAGAGACAAACTGAACAACAGATTTTCCAAATACATAAAAGAAGATTTAAAAAGAAAAAAAAAAGGAGAAAATTTTATGTTTTTAGAGAAGAAAGCCTAAGATGGCTTAATTCTGCTCCAAAATTGAGAGGACTGACGCAAAATTTCAATACAAAGGTCATTTGGACCCAAGTGTGAGAATCAGACACAATCCATTTTGACATGTGTACAGGTCAATTCTACCAGAGAAAAGGGTCTGGGTAACACTAAATATCGAAGTTGCTTGGAACTGAATATGAGTATCAAACACAACCCCTATTTGACATGTATGGGTCAATTCTACCATATGAGAATGGTCAGTGTAACCTAGTCAAATGACAGGCAGTCACAAAAAGTTAAATTTTGTCAATGGCAGATCGTTCAGAAGCATGAATGGAAGTGGAAGAGCAAATAACTTCAGGAAAGTGGTGCAAATTATTTGACGTTCACCCTTCCGGCTTCAATTATTGATATAACTTTCTTGCATGAGCTTTTCTCAACATAGTTGTCCAACCAATAAGTCCTACAAACACTGACAGTTGAAGGCCACTAGACATCCCCCCCC